CTAATTGCATAAACAATAATTGTAATAAATTTTAGGTGGAATCTAATTGCATAAACAATAATCTAATAAACTTTAGGTGGAATCTAATTGCATAAACAATAATTCTAACAAACTTTAGATGGAATCTAATTGTATGAACAATATATAATCAGTTTCTTTTTGATGTCAATAAATAGTACTGCTTGAAAAAAAAAATTGAATACCTTGTTGAAAGAGTTTTTAGAAAATAACTTGTGGTAACTAACGATTGATTTGACAAATTACCAGCAAGATACTGTTTCATCATTAAACCACAAAGAACAATGCTAAAAAAAAAAAAAAGAATAAAAAGCAACAGAAATAGATATTTGTAATTAATTCGGAAATTTTTTTTTAAATATAACTTTAAATTTTCAACTAAAAATTTTGGAAAATTTTCATTTATAAGTTGTATTATATTGATTTACGTAAGTTTCGTTTATTACAAAATTTTTGTTCGTTTTTTTTTTCATTCAATTAATTAAAATGAGAAGATAAAAAGGAAGGATACAATAAAATGATAATTAAAAGAAAATGAAAATAATGATAAAAGGATTAAAATTACTCATTTACTATAAAACAATTTATGTCATCTTTGATCGAATTAAAATGTCGCATTTTTTTTTTCTTTTTAAATAATAACAAACAAATAATGTGATAGGTGTGGAAGATTTTCAAAAAGAAATATTTACTTCAAAAATTTCTAATGAAATATTATCGTTGAAATTTTTTTCAATTTTTTTTCCTTTAATTTTAAAATTAGGCAAAAAAAAAAAAAATGATTTACGCGAGAATGCCAGAAAAATGGACACTTTCCGCTATCAAATATGAAAGATATGGTATGAGTAAACAAATTAATGGTTGTAATACTTGTTGCTTATTTGAATATCTGAAATGTTAAATTAGGTTGAACTTAAATGGACTAAAAAAAAATAAATGAGAACATTACATGTATATATATATATATATATGTAATTAATTACTTATTATATTATTAAAACTGGTTTAACTGATATATTTAGAATAAAATATCTTTCAAAGTTACGTTTGTTAAATCAAATAAAACAATTACTAATAGCTTAGATGATGAAACATTTCAAAATACTTTATCATAATAATCAAAACTCTGACTTTATACTATAAGGATCAAACTTACGTGTTTACGTGCTACGTGCAAATCATTTTCAAATGACAACAAATTTCATTAATGATAATGAACAAATGATGAAGTCTTTCTTTTTTTTGATTTTTATTTTTATTTACTTTTACTAAATTATAAATTGTAATATGAAATTATTTGAATTGATTTAATTATAATAAATCTAATATTGGAAATATATTTTTAATTAATTATTACTTAGTAGCTAAACCAGTAAGAGCAGCTCCAACAATTCCAATAAGTATTCCACCAAAGCTCACAAGAAAAAATGATATGAGTGCTTTAATGAAATCATCAGCTTCCAAATTCTCTGGTCCAATCTTGACCATTGCTGCTAATGCATGATACATAACCTTAATTAATTTTAATTAATTTAAATTAGCATAAATGTACAATGAGATGATTGATGTTATTAGTAATTTTTCGTCTTAAAATTTTTCAAAACATTAAAACTATTCCTGAATATTGGAAAAAAAAATTGGCAAAATATCGTTGTAAATTTTTAACAAATCATTGTATATTGTTGAAAAAAAATAATAATGAAATTAAATAATTTAATTAAATTCATTTTTTCCTTTAAAATCTTAACAAATATTCGAATTTAATTATTCATCATATTCGAACATAAATAATGAATTAATTGTTTAATTATTTTAATTATATTTGATAAAAAATATTTTTGGTAATGTTGAAAAAGTACAGTAAACTTACAATTGTTACAGCATCATTTAGTAATGATTCGCCAAAAACACAAATATACAGTAATCGGTTAACTTTAATTTCTTCAAAAACACTTAATACTGCAACTGGATCAACTGCCGAAATAAAAGTTGAAAAGAGGAATAAATCAAGCCAGGGTAATGAGATCGAAAAGAATGGTGATGCCATAAAAAGGATAAATCCTAAAATTGATAATAATTTATTTTATAAATTTACATTTCGCTTATTAGCAAAATAATATATTTAAAAAATTTTAAATAATTCAAAATTTAAAAATGACGAAAAAAAATAAAAAATTCAAAATCATTTTAAAAAAAATGAAGATACAAATAGGTCTTTATTTATTGTTATTAAGTTTTTAATTATTATGTTTGTTATTAGGTTTTTAATTTTTTATTTATTGTTATCAAATTTTTAAATTTCATTTATTACTACTAAATTTTTAATTATTACTAGTAAATTTTTGATTTGAATTGCCTAAATAAAAGCAAAAAAAACAATAATAAATGTCCGTTTTTTTTTAATAATTTCAATTGTGACAATTTTCAAAATTTATGAATTAATTTATTTTTTACGAAATTTAATCATTATAACTAATAACTCAAATTAAATAATATTTTTTTTTGAGAAAATGCTTATATGAAATAAGATTATTAAAATTTATGAATGAATAATTTATAATAATTGAATATATTAAATAAATATTGTGAAATTTAACCGTTATAATTAATAACTCAAATTAAATAATTTCAATATTCTATTTTTTGAGAAAATGCTTACATAAAACACGATTATTGAAAATTTATGAATGAACAATTTATAATAATTGAATGTATTAAACAAATATTGTAATTGTTTAAAAATTTGATCGAAAAAAATTTGTAAAATTTTAATAAATTGAAAAAAATACCGATAGAAACAATATTCCAAATTGTTCCTACCACAGCATAT